GACCCCCGCTCAGCCCCTGATGATGATACACATGTTCTGCGTGTGCCACTCCCACTCAGAGGACAGCACCACTCTAGGGAACACCTCACATCTAAATACCAGCCAGGGTAGAGATTTCTCAGCACCAGGAAGGCCCCAAGTCTGTCTCTACAGCCGCATGACTAACACAAACAAGATCACTCAGTGCCAAAGCTCCCCTTTTGACTTCCCTAGTTTACTGCAGTTCATCTTTAGGCAAAACTAAGCACTACGTTTTGTCTCTCTTGCAGACATTCTGACTAGTCAGCTTCTCTCCCAGTGTTATAATCAGTCAAGTGCACTCTAATCATCATTGTGAACACTTCTAGCACTGCTGTTTCTCAATCTAGCTATACCTAAATATAGTTCAACCTCAGCCAGCTAGACCATGCTTAGATTTCTGGTTATCCAAAACAAAGCTTTATTCAGGAGCCATGTTTATTAATGAAAATATATTTATCCATCCCTCATAATGTTTAGATAATGATGTTGGCTTTATTATCTCTTACAGACTGGTTATTCTACAGCGAGATATGTTCCCAACAAGCAGTTGGCATTACTGCAAACAATTGTCTTAAATGAAATTACACATTGGGAAACATAAAAATATCACGGTGAGTGAAACTGTGTTATTAATGTTTGGCTTTCCATCAATTTGATCGAGAAAATACCCTGGAGAATATAAGAAGTTACTGGAAGTCATTCAGTTGCATTACACGCCGTTTCAGCAGGCAACAGCAACACAGCTGCGGGCTCCGAGAAGGAAAGCCTCGGTGGAGAAATGGTGACCTCTACAGGTTCCTCACTCCAGCGGCCACACCACCTTCCATGTCCACCTAACTGCCTGCAAGGTGTAGCTTGGGTTGCTTTCATCTTGGAGAAATTAAACTACAGAAAATTAAATGTATATTTGATGATGACCTAGCAACATAAAATAAGCTAGAAAACACAGGCACGTGTTAATTTAAGACATAAATGTTCATCTTTGAGAAGTCAGAAAACCGTACTTCAAAGGACAAAAACTTCAAAGCACTCTGTAACTTCAAAGCACTGCACCAACATTAATAAACACCTAGGACATGTCTGTGAGGTAGAAAATATTTCCTTTTTTAATGCTTGTGTAAACAGGGCACAGGGATTAAGTGATTTGCCCAAGGACACAAGTTAGTAGCACAACTGAGATTGCATATCAGAAATCACTGGCTCAAGCCTCCCAGCTATAGCCACGTTAAAACAGTTTCCTATATGGACACTTACTTGGCAGAGGCCAAAATAGAGATATTTCCTGTCAATAGTATCACCTGCCCTTTCAGACTCTTGCTCTAAACTCTATTGTGTTGTTTCCAGCTGCACTAATACCAATCAGAGCTTTTTTCTACATTCTTCTCAAGTAAAACATAAAATGTGTTCAATGCACATCAGCTGATCTGCTCTATTCCTCTGTGATATATACGCTTACTGCAGAACAGAAAGATCCTTAAGTGCTATCTGACAAAGAAGACAGAAGCAAACACCTTCATTTTCTTTGCAAAATAACCTAATAGGGAACAATCCTTGGGTATGTGGAGCTAAAGAAGCCAGAAGAAAAAAAAGTGTGAAGTACTTAGCAGGGAAAAAAAAATCACTTTATGCCCCTCAGACAACAAATGAATGTAAAAGATAACGACAAAGGGCAAAGATTTGCCTCTTCCTCTCTCCAACTTCTTTTCTTAGATCTTTAGTAATAGCAAATTTTGCCATTCTTGTTTTTAATGAGGAGCTTCCTGACAATCCCGCATGTCTGTGGTCTCATGCACTTAATTAAAGGAGAAGAAATGTGAATATTTCTCCCATGTCTAAAACATTTGTATGTCAGATAAATAGAGTTAATGAGTAAAAAAAAGTTATAAACAAAAAACATGCTTCAAAGAGCCAATTCTGAATCTCTTTGTGAAGTCATTGTTGGAACAAAGGCTTCATTCTAAAAGTAGTTAAATACTAATTAAAAAATAAGAGCTTTTAAAACACAATTTCTAAAATGGAATCTATACTACAAGCTTCCAAAATTTCCTTGTCAAATGTGATTCTTGTTTTAAGACAGATTTTCCTCGTAAGTCACATACTTATAATGAAGAACTTGTTCAAAAAAATGCATAGTTCTGTTTTGAAGACTGATTTGCATCTAGTACCAACTGATGTGCTGAGGATTATTTTCCCCAAATGAAGTCCCCCAGTGGCTCTGAGGGAGATGCTGCCTGGATATATTGATCAAATGTTCCTCCTCAAGGCCAGTCAGGAGTACTGCACCCTTCATTTGTACTGTTTGCCAGTAAAACTTCTGTATCCAGAACACCAGGGAATTACTGCCATGCTGTTAGACTCGAAAAGAATAGCACAATTTCTGGTTTTAAGGTTTTCAGGAGTTCCAAACATTCTTGTGCTGTCTGTATTAATGATACAGCTCAGCTCTAACATAACATTTCCCATTGCCAGAACTCAAAACTTTGCTGTGAAGATAATCATAGAATCATAGAAACGGTTGGAAACAACCTTGTCATGATGATCTGTCATGTCAGATTATCTAGTACCAACCTTCCTGCCATGGGCAGGGACACCTCACACTAGTTCATGTCGCCCAAGGCTCTGTCCAACCTGGCCTTGAACACTGCCAGGGATGGAGCATTTACCACTTCTTCGGGCAACCTGTTCCAGTGCCTCAGCACCCTCACTGAGAAGAACTTCTTCCTTGTATCTAACCTGAACTTCTCCTGTTTAAGTTTAAACCCATCACCCCTTGTCCTATCACTACAGTCACTGATGAAGATCAAGTATTGCTCTGTCTGTTTTGCATTGAACAATAATAATGATGACATAAAGATCCCATTTCAGCAACCTTTAAGTAAGGCCTATTAATTTACTCAAGACATGGACAGATCTTCAGTACTTTGTTAAGTCAAATCTGCAGACTGAATAAATTGCAGATCACAGACTGAGTCACTCGTAGATTTGGGAACACAGTTCAGCCCTCCTGACTCCCTACAATAAAGCCAGGTTTTCCATGTTAGGTGTTACCAATCATTACCTAAATGACAAAGGTTTTGCTGTTCTTGGTGTAGTGCCCTTCTTTGCATTTCAGAGGAATTATTGGGCTCTTACATTGACTGTCAAATTTGCTGACTTGGTAACTGGCTGCCTTTCAAAATATATATTAAAAATCTCACCTTTCACAGCTCTTTCTTCAATAAATCTCTCTCTCTATATATATATATATAGACTAAGCTTTGTGATCTTACTTATAAAACTAAAGTCGACAGAAAACAAATTAAAACTCTTATCAGTCACATTGTACACACTATTAAAGAAAATCCCAGCAAAGGCAGCAGGACCCAGCAGAAAGGGTGCTGAGCTAAGACACACATGGCAACATTTCCCATTTGCTTAAATAAGGTCAAGCTTTCAGTCAGCTCATTTTACTTCTAGCCCTTACAGAACTCTGTAATCTCCATTTCTCTCTCAGCTGGTTTCAAAACGTGTAGGTGATTATTATTTCCTTCTCTCCATAAGGAATTTTAACACCAATAAGTTAAATTAATTACAGCCAGATTCAAAGGCCCTACACCCATATTGAAGACTATACATATTCACAGATTTGAAGCTCTATTTAATTATACTTTAAACGTTGCATACTGAATCACATGCCTTGATCCACCTCATGGAAAAGAATTAAGTTCCAGACAGACTCCAGGTTACAGCAGGTATGACAATCTAAATAGCCTTTAAGTTAAATATACCTCATAGGCTGAAGATGTAACTCATGTTAGAAAGGCTGGATCCCTTTTTATAACTAGCTGCTTGTACAGCTTATTTTTATCTCGGCCTTTATGTTTTTATTTCATTACATTATAGGTGGCAATGTGTACTCTTTCATTTAAGATCATACAAGGTACGTAATCACAGCAACAGTAACTATGCTGTGCATTTTCTTTTGTCATGTTTAATAGACTGGTCATTTAGGCACCTACAAAAAACAGCTTGGCCAGAGGAGCAGGGAACTCGATAAACAAATATCTGCTATTCAAATACCAGAGTCACAAAAACTTTCCTTTTTTTTTTTCCTCCCTAATTATTTCATTAAAAAATCTGGAAGAAATCTCCCACATGGAATATCTTTGCATATCACAGATTTTTGTTTTGTTATGAAACTTTAGTTGTTGCTAAGGAAGACCAGAGAAGATCAAAGGACTTCTAACAACTAGCAAAGCAAAGGTGAGGGAGTTCTGATTTCTTTCTCATTCTCTAAAGATTTATCACTGAACTACAACAGTTGTTAGTTCACAGTTGTATGAAAAGAATGTGTGAAGTGATGTGAGTCTGCTTTGCTATTCCATATCCAACTTCAAATATCAAACAATAGCTCAATTCACTTTTTGCTTAGCAACGTGATCATGCATTCAACCAGCCTGTTCACAAATCCATATGCAATTGAAGTCCTAAGGGCTAAAAAAGAAGAGCTTGTAGAAGCCATAACCCACACAGACCATCTTCTGAACTGGCTAATAGACAATGGTGTTTTTACCCCAGAGAAAAAGATGGTCGTGAGTTTCTACAGGACACGAACAGAAAAGAACTCTCGAGTTTTAAAACTACTGATGTCTCAAGGTGAACGAGCCTGCAGGCTCTTTTTTTATCCATGTTTAAAGCAAGTGGAGCCAAAACTTTATACCAAGATAAGAAAATATGTCAGTGAAGTAAATGAAAGCATTGGAGATGCTAGAAGACAATTAGTAGGATATTTACTTGAAAAAGACAAGGTTTGGTTTAAAAGTAGCAATGAACAGCACCAGGGAAAAAAAGACAATCCTAGAAGAAAAAAGCAAGAATGGGCTATTAGGAAGAAAGGAAAAAAACTTCAACTTTCAAAGGCAGCAAAACTGAGAAAAGATCACACTGATGTTGGCATCTTTGATGCAGTCACTAAGGGCAATCTTTCTGAGTTAGAGGAGATGTTGAAAGACAATGATATTAACACACTAAATTCCTCAAGTGAAACACTTCTGCATGTTGCAGCTGCTAATGGACATGTAACCATAATGGAATATTTGATGAGCAAAGGTGCAAAGGTAGATGTGAAAGACAAGAATGGAAGAACACCACTGCACAGGGCTGCTGAGAAAGGCCATGAGGGTGCAGTGAAAGGACTGCTCCAATCTGGTGCTTATCTGTACAGTTTGAATACAGAAGGCAAGACACCACTTCATTTGGCTGCAAAGAATGATCACAGCCACATAGTGACGATGCTCCTGAAAGAAGAGGCAAGAAGCTACAGGAACCAGCACAACTTTTTGCACATGGCAGCTCTTAAAGATGAGACCAGTCTGGCAAAAATGCTTTTAAAGGCTGGTGCCTCCATTGATGGAAAGGACGAAAAGGGACAGACTGCTCTCAGTTATGCTGTGTTACGTGGGTCCGAAAGCACTGCAAAAGTACTGCTAGAAGCTGGAGCCAGCGTTGATTCCAACATGGTTGAAAGAGCCTTCAACAGCAACCACCCATCCATCTTCAAAATACTACTAGAATATTCCAAAGATTTGTCATCTGAAATAATGGAGTCAGCTCTTTTCAGGGCTGTGCAGAAAAATCTACCTGGTATTGTAGCTGCTTTAATTGACAGAGGTACGGATATAGATGCCCTCAATGACATGAGGTACACTCCGTTACTCCTGGCATGTGAAACAGGCAAAGCTGAAGCTGCAGAAGCTCTAATTGAAAAGGGAGCAAACTTTGGAATGAGGACTCCTGCTTCAGACACAGCTTTGCACTTGGCAGTTCAAGCTGGGGCTGATTCCATCGCACATCTGCTTCTCCAGAAGGGGATGGAAACTAACCTGATCAACCAAGCCCATGAAACCCCGCTGCACTTTGCTGCCCTTCATAATAATGGAGCATTAGTTGGCCTTTTAGTTAATGCTGGAGCCCAAATTAATGCTGCCACTAAAGAGTTTGTTACTCCCCTGCATATTGTAAGTCAAAGAGGTAACACTGATGCTGCCCAACAGCTCTTGCACCACAAAGCCCGTGTTAATGTTAAGGATAAGCAGTTAAAATCCCCTTTACATTTTGCTGCTGAAAGAGGAGACAAAGCAATGGTAGAGATGCTTCTGAATGCTAACGCTGACCCCAACGCACAAGACAAAGAGAAGAAGACTCCCCTGCACACTGCAGCTGCGAGAGGACATCTTGGCATCGTGAAAGTTCTGTTAGCTGGAAAAGCAAGATTTGGAGTGAAGGACATGGACGGATGCACTCCAATGCACTATGCAGCCATGAAGGGAAACACAGAGATAGTAAAAATTCTTCTGGCATCAGGGAAAAATAAAAACATTGATGACAGAAACACTTGGAGAAAGACTGCACTGCATATTGCAGCAGAGCATGGGCACAGCAACATGATCAACGTGCTGCTGAGACACGGGGCGGCCATTAATGCCTCAGACAGCAGCAGGGACACCGCGCTGCACTGCGCCTGCAAGGCCGGTCACTTGAATGCTGTGAATGCCCTCGTAAACTGGTCACAAGGAGAAAAAGCAAATTTACTGGCTGCTAACAGCCTCCAAAAGACCCCACTGCAAGTAGCAGAATTTAATACAACAGAAAATCAGGCTCAAATCGTAACACTTTTGAAGAAGAAAATGTTAATAACAAAATGAAGATGTAAAGCGAAAACGGCTAAATTTAAATGCCGAATTCTCTCGTAATGTAGTTTGGATAGTGCTGCTGCCCAGTATGATTGTAACTATGCTAGACCATGCAGAATTAAGTTAGCAATCAAAGGTGACCCTGGAAAAGAAGGCTTTTAAAACACTGTTAAACTTCTAAGTATTGATTAGTCTTTTGCTTCTCTCATGAATCTCATACTTGGAATCTATTTAAAAGGCACCACTCATAAACAGATTGTGTATGACCTCCTCCAGTGTAAATCAAGACTTAAAAAAAGAAAATAGAAAATAACTTTTCATGTATCTGTCAATATCAGCTTGTACGGATAGCTGATACACTGTTTGGTAACATTTCATTTTTAAAAAGCCATGTCTATTGTGAATAAGGAGAATCAGTATCCTCAAGGACACAGAGATAGAGATGTTGGAGTAGACAAACCCAGTTTTGTTTAGCTTTGGCAGATGAAACTGCAGAGTGCTGCCAAGGGAGATTGAACTGCGCTCCCTTTCACCCCAGCCCTGCTCTAGGTTGTACGTGTGAGTTCATCCAACTTACTCCACAGATGTACCTAAACACCAGGAGAAGCAGGACAGCAAAGAGCAGAGTAGCACTGGCTCTCTTGAGTGTAATGTGATGTGAGCTATTGGACTATGCTGATTACAGTACTGCTCTCTGAGCTACTAACTGGAGATCAGAAGGCATCTCCTTCAAAATGTACTAGTGTGGGGTTGCTCTACTCTAGATTTACTAGACTCATTCCCCATGCTAATAAATCATATAGTCACAGACTGGTTTGGGCTGGAAGGGACCTTAAAGCTCATCCAGTTCCAACCCCCTGCCATGGGCAGGGACACCTTCCACTAGAGCAGGTTGCTCCAAGCCCCTGTGTCCAACCTGGCCTTGAACACTGCCAGGGATGGGGCAGCCACAGCTTCTCTGGGCACCCTGTGCCAGCGCCTCAGCACCCTCACAGGGAAGAACTTCTGCCTAATACCTAATGTAAGTCACTCTTCTTTCTGTTTAAAGCCATTCCCCCTTGTACTGTCACTTCAGGCCCTTGTCAAAAGCCCCACTCCAGATTTCCTGCAAGCCCCCACAAATCCTACCAAGAGCCTTGGTATAAACCAACCAGAGAAGTGCGTGTTCCAAAACTTTGCTAACACAACGACGCTGTCCTTAGGAAACTGGTATGTGCTACACCGACACTCAGCATTGCACTGGACCCTCTTTAGACACTTCCGTATTATACCCTACAACATGGCACTGAGCTCCAGAGACTCTAACAATCATTTTTCTTTTTATCTTTCATGATACCATTTACCTAGGTTTTGCTATGTACAGATAATTAAACTAATCATAGTTGCTGTTTATTAACTTCACTTTCAAATCAATTCCAGCACAAAGATGAAATGTTCAGAATTAAAAGGTTGCAACAGAGTTTATTGGTTCAAAACATTTGTATTGCCATATCTTAAACCAGAAACATTCTCAAGGTGACAGAAGGTTCTCTGTCGTCATTCCCTATATAATGATAATCAACCCTCAAGATTCTTCACACTTCTCACCATTGTATGATTGGAAGCCCAATTCCATGAAGGGACAAATACTTCTTGTGACACAAACACGGATTTAAGAACATATGGGAGTAAACCTGTGATTTTTAGAGCCATATTACAACTTGACCCGCACAACACTCTGCTCCTTAAAAGACATCACCACACACTTGGAAGCACACAGGCAGGGCCCAGCAACCCTGGCATCTGCGGCAGGAGGCACTGAACAGTGCCAGTCAGCAGTGTCCCTCTTCAGGGGTCACCCCACACTTCCATGGCCCGGTTCTCCCTGGGCCACTTGTAAACCGCCACTTCCCCAGCGCGTTTCCACCTGCACCCACAGGCAAGGGAAGGCGAATGGACAGTGGGTTTTCATCCCCCCAGAGCCACAAGGCTTCTCCCCACAGAGCTCTCCCACCCTACAGTGAGTGGGGCAGCCAGGGCAGACCAGGGCATGCAGCCTGGGTGGGCTCCAACCTCTTCCTGCACTGTGCTGCATAGAATCAACGTGGTTGGAAAAGACCTTTAAGATCATCAA